CGCCATTTTGGTTCCTACTAGATGGAGAATTATAGCGTATATAGTATAGTATAGCGTACATGTGTAACACGTCAATTATTAAAAATGATTCAGGACTTTTTTCGACTCATTTTTTGGCAAGGAATAACGCTATGTACTTAGTGGGCAGTCTTTAAGTGTCACCCTGTATACGCTATAATTCTCCATCTAATAGGAACCAAAATGGCGGATGAGAATACCTACATATCTAGTGCCTTAATTTAACCTGTTGATTTCTTCATCATCCCGTTAGGGATGAGTTATATTAGGCTTATATGGAAAGGCGCGTTCTAGACTGTATAAAATGGTACAAAGTTCAGAGGAAAAAATAAAAGTAATGCATTGAAATTGAAGGAATATATTTTGAATATATTTTGAAGAGAATAAACCAATTATATATATATGTGTAAACATTGTATTTTTTTTTGATAAATTCAACCTCACATTTATTTGTTGCGCTATATATGTATCATATCAATCGCAACAATTTTTAATTACTGCAATTTGATCATATTGAACTTAATAATTTAGTAAAATTGTCAAAATAATGTTTGTTTATTATCTTTGAAGCATATATTTATTATTGATTAACAAATATTATAAACATTGCTCCACATACTCTTATAATATTAAAGGCCACATTTAGAAATATGCCACAAATAGAAATTATTACATCTTATACCCTATAGTAAAATACAAACGCGCATGATGAAATGCAAAAAAAAAAATCTAAATTATACAATATATTCTAAATATGGCCATTATAAGTTTATAAACACATATTTATAGGAAAGAGTATCCTCGAGCTAAACGTATCTTGATCAAAACGCTTAGATTTCTCCATTTAATAGTTTTTTATCAAATAAAAATTCTGCCAACTTTCCATGCGATGATGACATTTTACTCAATATTGCGAGTTTTCCAATAAGATCACGTTGTCCTTTATATTGTTCGTCCAAGAATTCCGTTATAAGATGGTCCACCAACTGTAAGAATGGCAATGCGTTAATAAACTTTTCTGTATACGATTAACTTTTATCTTTGAACAAAACTTACATGGTAATCATTGATATTTTCTTGTTTAATATCTTGTTTAATTTGTTTAGGATGTTTAGGATCTTGTTTAGGATCTTGTTTAGCATGTTTAGAATCTTGTTTTGAAGTTAGTTCACTTCTTCCTTCCGGATCTTCACAAACTTGAATTATATCCTTAATGCTTTTCGTAACCTTAACTTCTAAGTCCAAAGCATATTTGAGAGCTTTACTTCCGTCAAGAGCGTCTTTATCAATTTCCTTATTAATTTCTTGCAGTTCACTGATTTCGTTCTAATAAATAACAAACGTCACTATTAATACATTTGATAACTATATGATTGTTCATAATCTCCACTTATATATCATTTATTATAATGTTAAACTAATATAACTTTAAAAAAAGAGTATTTTCTTAGAAGTAGTTTAAAAAACTTATATACTTACTGCATAGAAGTTGGAAGATAATAGCTCAGCCATATCAAAATATATTTTATTTTCATCATTAGTATTTTCGTTCTTTGTAACAAGTGGTCCACGCATTAGCAAATAGTCGATGATTTTCATTGCATGCTCTCTTTCTTCACTTGCGCTTTCAAAAAAGAACTTGCTAAAGCCTGGGCGATCTACAACATCACGTGCAAAATGTGCCCCCTAAGAAAATAACATTAATATAATATATCATTTGTATGTTCATGTTAACTTAACAATTTTGTTTACAGAAATTACATATTGAATTAAAAATATATGAGCAGATTAAGATCACTATACCATTGCAAAATATACCAGGGCAGCATTGATTTCCATTTGAACTTGATTCTTCAATTTGTCTACACATTCCTTATGCATCTTATTCCAGTCTGATTCCCATATTACATTTGGAGTCTTCAATAAACCTAAAAAATTACATACATACATATATATTAGAATTAAATAATATATAAGGCTCAGCAGATTATTAAAACCAATTAAAATCAATAGAAGCGTAAAGAGCCATAATGCTGGTTAATCGTGTGAAGGTTAAGATGTATTCATTAAATTGTTTACATCAAACGTTTCGACCTGCCATCAGGCCTT